ACGGATCAAGACATTTGAATGCTACACACTCCATGATTTAATCGATCTCTGGCCGCTGGACAAAACTGATGTGGTTTCTTGAGCCTGACAATCTCAACCAGAGTACATCGATCGATAGAGCGCCATGCTGTTTGTGAAAGGTGATGAATTTGAATTCGTATCATGACAGCTCGCCGTTCACTCGTCTGCTGAGTACACTGTGTGGGAACGAAACAGGAAGCTGCTCACTGTACCGACCACGGCTCTGTAGTAATTGACTTCAAAAGTTTGACACGTCGCGCTGATGGTATTATGATGACACGGAGATGAGCGCCACTTCAGAAGCTCTATGAAAAAATTTTTTTCAGGCCATCGAACTGTGTACAAACTAACATACTGGTGCTTACAGACCTTCAGAAACGTTAAGAATCGGTGATGTCAATATGATGCTCAAGTTCTGCCACGCTTAGAAAAGTTAACCTTTAATCGCTTCAGGCACAGAGAAAATCGTTGGATATTTGTTATTAAAGCTACTAGGAAACCTATATTCCAGCAAAGGATCAGGTATGGATAAGTAAAGGCTGATTTGTATTTTAAGCGGCAACAGTTCAGATCTCGTTACGTTGAAATTTCAGTGGTTATCATCGTTTATACGAATTAGGCATCTGTTTTGCCATTTCTGGTGACATAGTGGCGTAAATTCTGCGTTGAACTCCAGAGGTGCTTGGTTTGATTCTTTTCGAGGGCAGCCTTTGTCCTATTGACAAATTCCCTGAGCAACGAATTTTCCAACATTTTTTCAGACTGAGGTTGCTTAGTCGGTGGAACATCGAGCTCAGAACTGATGAGTACCGACTTCAAGCCCCGATCGGGGTCGCTCGCCCTTCTTCCTTCTGAAGTTGATGAGTATCACTCTTTTTAAAAGAAACTGGAGACTATACGATGCGCTTGCCACATGGCTGTAGACTGCCTTTCAAAATAGGGCACTCCTTACTCATGGAATTTAAATAGATATCAGCAGCGAACCGTCAACTTCATTAAAAAAAGGTACCAAGTCGTGAAAATGAAGTAAGACCGACATTCCAACTGTCGCAAATTATTCTTCTTTTGCGATTTCTGATGTGATCATCTGCTCTTATTTTTACACGCATTTGTTTCAATAATTCTTTCCTTTTTAAACACTTTCGATATTTTAGTTTAAAAATAACCTAATATGTGCGGTTTTGTTTTGCACAAGAAATACATACAGATACGGTTTAAGATTCTGATCTCGTTCGTCTTTTAGGCTACTAATCGTCATTTCCCTCAGACGTTCACTGGTGCCTATTTGTCTGGACTACGAGAAGCTTATAAGAT